TGATGAAGCCGATAACACTAGTTGTATTTTTAAATTTACTCTTAAGTATAATTTTACTGCAGTGATAAAAATAATTTTATTAAAGAGTCGACTCAGCAATGTTGTGAATTAAATTATTTATTATTTTGGTTTAACATACTTTCAGGATTTAAGTATAATAAAATATACTCTGGGAGAATTTAAAATGCTTGATAACTTCAGTATTTTGTACTTACTCAATTTAATTTCATGTTTTGTGGATAGTTTTATGATAACGCTACTCAGACGTGATTTTAGTAATGGAGAATGCCGTAAAATAAAGAAAAATATACTAAATCTATATTATTATTACAAAGAGGAAAACTTTGTTTGTTTGATTGTAGTGGATAGGCTCAACAACTACTGGGCCGATTTTAAAAATTCTTATACCAAAAGATAGTTTACCTTTCTTTCTAGAAAAGTAAACTATCTTTCTAGAAAGGTAAACTACCTGTGAGTGACATAGGCTATATATTTTCATTACTTTATTATTTTTAAATTTCACGCGGACGGAGTCGCTGGCAAAAGCTAGTCGTATATAAAAGCCACAAATAATTAACTTTGTCATCATTAGTAATCTTCAAAGTCATTATTTAAAATATTTACGACTAAATTATCAAAGTTAGTTTCATTTAAAACTTGAGAAAAGCCACGATTTATGTGGCGATAACATTAAACGTAAGGATGATATTATAAAGGGACGCTTGAAAATGCTTACGTTCAAAATGCAAATCGCCGCCCTAACAAAAGTATAAAATTTCACTCACGGGTAATATTCACATAACATAACTGAAGATTTTTAATAACAATTAAATCTGATATTCATTGTTACCGAATATGACCTTTTTACATAAATACGTTTATTCATTACTAGCTTTCGGCCTCGACTCCACCCGCATGGAATTAAATAAAACAAAAGTGAGTAGTCTATGTGTTCTTCTAGACCATCCTCTACATCTATACCAAATTTCATCAAAATCCGTTCAGCCGCTTAGGCTCGAAACTCAAACAAACACCCATCCATCCATATAAACTTTCGCATTTATAACATTAGTATGAAGTATGATTCACTTTTCTAACTATGTATGTTTGATTAAATTATTTAAACTTTCGTGAGACATTATTATAACTATTTTACGTCTACCCACGTCTATTTTTTCCGTGGCGGTACCAAACAGTGTCGGACCCTACGAAGGTCCATGTTCAGGGCAAGTGTTACTAGGATTGTTTCGCGGTCGCATCGCGCCTTGCACTGCAAGTATTAGCCGTAAATTTTTTTTACAAAGAAGTAACGTTTTTGAAATCATAAGATAGTAAACGAGCAAACGACCACCTGAATTCGCAAAAACAGCTAAACTGCCGCTGCTCATAGACATAAGACATCCCTAAATGCAGATGTGTTTATATTGTTATAGTTTATACATAGCTGTATTCCCTTTAATAAGTGTCCGCCGTCAAGTCAAATTCCCCTTCTTATTTTTACGAAAGGTGAAATAATAACTGATTAAATACTTATAAAATAAAATAAACAAATGTCAGCTTTGTGTATTTACTGGAAAACTAAATAATAAAACAAATGAAACGTGCCTAAAACGTGGAGTTCCATCCTAATTAATCCCAGGAAAGCGGATAAAGTCAAAAGCACAACAGCCAAAGTCAAATCGAAACTACAAAATGCTGAAGCTAAGTCTTCTACAAACCGACAGCCTGATACAAACTTGAGCAAAACTTTAAAACTAAGGCGAAAACACATTTACGTTTTAAAAAAGTCCATTATTTTAGTTCTACTATGCAAATTAATGCGACTATTTGGATTACTTCAATAAAGTCCTTTGTTAATTTACTTTTTAGCAAAGGTTTTTATTGCAATAATGATTGGTTAGCCCTTTAAATGTTATCCTTGTAGAATTTAAACTTTGTAGAGTTCATTAAATTGCTGAATAAAAAAAAGAATAAAAACCTAATTAATTTCTAAATTCTTCACAATTAACAGTTTTAATTAAGTAAATAGAGGGTCTAATCAAAAGTTATTGTAAATGGAATATGATTCTGAAAAACTTAAAAGCTTACGAGCAAGTAAGTTCGTTATGGAATTGAGGAACTTTAAAAAATATAAAAACGGTCCAAGTTTGTGCGCCTAATTAAATTTCTCCCCGACTCAAGCGTGCAAACTTTTAATAAAGGACGTTTCCATTATTGCAAAATGTGTAAATTGCATCTGTATATTTAAAAATAAAAAACCATTATATTTAAGCCAATATATTTATTCCCTATGTTTCAATACCAATTGGAACCCTTCGAGTCGATGTACAAAATTATACTTTATAACGACAACATAAGGATCCCACGATCTTCCGTAACCTTAATTATATCGTAGTTCTTACGGAAGCCTACATTGTTTGTTTTCTATTATTTTGGTTCAATGCTAGATAATAATGTAGAGTAATGATTTTCAAAATAGTTCAAGTCCGCGGAGAAGATTGCGGAAAATAAAGTTATAAGGGGTTACAAGTTAAGAGAAAGTAACCCCTGCTGTTCACCGAAACCAGTATAGTTATAAGGGAAAAAATGTTTGTATTATTGTGTTAGCAAAGCTAATATATCTAAGACGATCGCTTATATTAAATAGTGCAGACGGTAAAATATCATTTTTTTTTTGTAATACAGAATATGGGGCAAACCTTCTACGTCCCCGACTCTACGCTACACAAAGCACTCATTCCAAATATTACGGACTTACACAAAGCCGCTAAAACTCGGAAAGGCCAAGGCTTAACACACGTACTGCCACAAAAAACTACAGATTCCTAAATTTTTTTTATTTATTTGAGGTCAGATTATATTTATATTACCTATATTAATTTTAAATTTTCGTATCGTTATTAAAAAAATTAGACTATGCCTCAAATAATGTTCAGGAAATGAAATGAAGTGTGATGAATAATGAAATATGAAAAAGGAACCTACGTAACGAAAGGCTCTACAGAAATTCATGAAAAAAGAAATCCAACGCAGATAGACGAGTGAAAATTTAATGTGAAGTCCTCAAGAAATTAATTTACACGCTTCCCTCTTTTACAAAGTGAATTTTGTTTTGTGTAAATTTAGAATGAGCTAAAGAAGTGGCTCTTATTTCCTCTTCAGGACGTTAATACTCGCTCCCAGGAATTCTCGGAGCGGACGTTCACAGCTTTTGAATTAAATCAAAATTTCTCAAGAAATATTAACTCTGTGTAGACGTTGCGCATTTTACGTTAACAGGAAATGAATTATCTAAAACATTTCTTAACATATAAGTTTATTTTAACTAGTTTTTCTTTGATTTCCTTTTTATAATAATAAAAATGTAACCTGCAAATGCAGATGTCTGGGGCCAGTAGTGGCTTCGCTATTTTGGCGAATACCGATGGCCATTTACTAATTAGTTACTTTATAAAAAAAGTTTACATTATAAAAAAAGCTAGGTTAATCTGCTGAAGTTAAAATAACCATGTCTATTTTGAAGTCAATTGTCTGGTTACTCTGTAATAGATATTAAACTAGAGTAATAACCTAAAATAGAATACAATATAAAATACTACTAATAAATATCTACTTACAAGATAATATTATAATTCTCTTGTCAAATACAAACTATTGCTTTCGACAGCAAGAAAAGTCCCGTTTGTTTAGTAAAATCTCGCAAACTTTGGTTTGTTAGTTGTTTGATTTTCAGCAAACTGCCCAAACTGTTTTCGCTGAATTAATTATTTTGATTCATGACTGTTTCCTGTAGTTTGGTTTTAAATGTAGAACTACAATTTTCTAAATAGAAAGTTTATACAATAATACTGAATTATCTAGATAATATTAACATTAAAAAAACTGTTAAAATAAATGCAGACTATAAAATTACGTAATAATTCAGTTAAATAAATTGCAATTTAAAAAAAACAATATTGTAGAGCCATCAAACATTCACTAATCTTTCGGCCATTGTCGATCCGAATTCGACACAAAACTCCGATATTGTATTATTTTTACTAGCGCAAATCCATAACATTGATTTGTTCTAATAATCCTATCGTCCAGTTTAATCTTTAAATCCTTGGGATTGACACGTTCGTATATTAATATCGATGGAGTATTCAAATGTACATCTTTCTCATGTTTGCATAAACTGGTGTATGTATGCTGCATTTAGTATGTATGTACTTTATATTTAATTGAATAAATACTTGCACTATTTCATAGTTAATATTTTTGTCGATGATGATAAAATTTAGTAAAATATTAATCTTGGAAGTAGATAAAAACCGTTATTAAGAAGTAACACATCTTTATATTGTTCCGTCTTGTTTACTATTTTGCATATGAGAAATACTCGTAAATATGTCGTTCTTGATTTAAAAAAGCGCCACTATATTTCAACACTACATTTCACATTTCCAATGTAAAACAACGCCATCTATTACCAGAAGCTATAACTAAGAATTCATTGCGTTTTATACAACCGCAGACTAAAGAGTGCTTTTTGTTTGGATGCCAACGGCATTGATTTAACTTGCATCTCTGCGGTTGGCTCATTTTAAATATCCTGTTGTTTAAACCAATGAAAACACTGCAATTTGCTTTCTGTGCCACGTAATCGAAAACAGACTGTTCAACGAAAACAAATTCTTGCGAATCAATCTGTCATTCAGATGACTGTACGAGTAGTGTATCCGCCTTGAAAAATTGTTTTTAGTATCGATAAAGTAAGTAAAGACAAAGCTTTTATGTATTTCTCTTTAGTAACATAGTTTTACTTTACAATTATGCAATAGTCTAATTCCCTTATAAGATTTTCATTCAGGGCACTGCTCCCTAAATTGACGTCATTAATTTCCATCACAAAACAAGAATTTCTACCTTAGTTATTTTGTTTCTTTCACAAACAGGACGTAATTTTTATTGCGTGCTTCTAAAAAATGTTATTACACTTCTCGTTACATTAGATGTCATCTTTGTAGTATAAAAACCGTCTGACTTGTTCAAAACTGTCGTTTTCTAGCACAAAGACTGTTTCGTGATAACCAATACTATTAGCCCACTTTTCAGAGTGCTAGGAAGCTGTGAAACAATAATGGTCGTTTCACATTCGTCAATTACCGTATGCTTAATTGGTCTATTACGAAAATGTGTCAGCTCCTTGTAATGTTGAACGCCCTAAATAAATTAACATGGTGCTGTATTATATATATTTCTTCTCTTTTACACTATCGACATAGTTATTTGCTAAACCTATGTGCATATTCCTTTTGATAACAATGATAAGATAACACTATATCTCTTACCTTAATACATAGAAGTTGTAAACTAAATAATATTAATAATAATGTTCTCAATTTGTTGTAGGTAAAAGGGTCTCAATATGACAACCCAAGTTCAAGCACTATATGACTTCTCGGGTGAGCCTGGCACTACAGAAATGTCAATAACATGTGGTGAAATATTAACACTTTTAAATACTGAAATTGGTGAAGGATGGTGGGAGGGCCGCAATACGAAAGGTGAAACAGGACTATTTCCTGCAGCATATGTGAGAAAACTTACCCCAGATGAGTCGGCTCCCACTAAGATGGCTCCAGCAGCACCACGGTACGATCAAGCTGCTGATGATTGGGGTGATCAGCAGTATAGTGCTGGAGATAACAACTATCAACGTACAACATCAAATGATGATGGTTGGGATGATGATTGGGATGATGACACATATTCGGAAATTGGGCCCGGTGGACAACAACAAAAGCCCAGTGGACATCAACAGCAACCTTTGACACCACTTCCAGGAATGCCAATAAATGACTACAATCATCGCATAGATGATACTGCATCCAATTTTGGATCTTCTGTAGGTACAGTGAGAAAAAATAAATTTGCACCATCTTCTAAAGTAAGTGGTGAAAGTTACTTGTTAGGTACATTAAATGTGGAAGTGCCAGATAGTGACAAAGTTCACATCGTCCAAGATGAAGATGGATACATTTGGTCACCAATCCCGCAACCCTACTCCGTTACTGTTGCATCGCCAAAGAAAGAATCCAAGTTCAAAGGGATCAAAAGTTTTATTGCATACCAGTTGACACCTTCATTCAATAATATTCAAGTGTCCCGGAGATACAAGCATTTTGATTGGCTGCATGAAAGATTACAAGAAAAATTTTCATTGGTTCCTATACCACCTTTGCCCGACAAACAGATATCTGGCCGCTATGATGAACAGTTGATTGAACGGAGACGGGTACAACTTCAAGAATTTGTCGACTGGATGTGTAAGCATCCAGTTCTTTCTAAAAGTGAAGTTTGGCAACACTTTCTCACTTGTACAGATGAAAAAAGATGGAAAGCTGGCAAACGGCAAGCCGAAAAGGACAACCTGTTAGGCCTTAACTACTGTATATCTTTAACTGTACCTGAAAAAGCTTTATTGCAATCACAAGTGGACCACATCACAGAACAATGTCACACATTTATAAACAGTATGGATACTTCAGTTAAATCTGTTTCTAACATGTGTGTTGCACAAACAAAAAGGTTCCAAGGACCTTATAAAAGTGATTGTCAGAAAATAGGAGAAGCAATTTATAACCTAGGAAATGCACTGAGTTTAGACGAGGGCACAATTGTGTCAACTTCCAAACTCACTTCTGCGATAAAAATGACTGGCGGCGCTTATATTGAGATTGGTAGAATGTACGAAGATCAGCCTAAATACGATTTTGAACCACTCGGTGATAAATTTCATTTATACAAAGGTATTGTTGGTGGCTTTCCAGAAGTGTTAGCGAATCACAAAGGAGCTATGCAGAAGAAAAGAGAATGTGAAAGGTTAACTGCTGAACATAAAATGGAAATAGCACAACTGAACGAAGTTATAAGAAGGTCTGATGTTATCTCGTACGCCGTGCTTGCCGAAATAAATCACTTCAAATCCGAGAGAACCATAGACTTGAAAGCGACAATGCAAAAGTTTTTGAAACAGCAAATTCACTTTTATAAACGAGTGGTTGATAAACTTGAAAATACACTGCAACAATATGAGGATTAATTTAATGCTTGATATACACATATTTTCTCAAGTAAGGGAATTGATGAACTTTTTTTAGAGATTGTTGTCTTACAAATGCCATTGTAAAGTTTGATGTGTATAAATTTTTGTATAACAGTTTATTAGCAATGCAGATGTGATCCAAAGGATTATGAAAATGTTAAGAAGAATTTATATTGTGATGAAATAAGGACTGAATGTTAATCATGGTACACAATATTGTTTATTTTAAGCTATTCTAAATGTACTGTATATATTTTTACAATCTTGCATCTTGTGATTATATTTTTTTCTACAATATACATATTTTGTTTTTAAATTTTACTAATTTACATGAATTATTTTTCTTGACTTTACCTATGTAGGATGTTAGAATAAATGTTGTAACTGTATTATTCCATTTTTTATAAGTTCTAAATAGCCAATAAAATATGCAGATTGTTTGTACTTTTTTTTTATTGTTTTAATATAACTGTAAAAACCTTTTAACAAACCCTCCTATTATGTGTAAGTATTTTGGAATTCTTTTTTATTTTTGTTGTTTATTGTGTGGTGACAATTTTTATTTTTTTATTTTTTCAGGCAAAGAAGAATAGTAATGAAGGGATTCAGCCAATGCTAACATTTGGATCTACACACGGTTCGAATAAACGATTCTTTTTTTGATAATGGCCGAAGAGAAAAAGAAGAAAGACTCCAGTGCATTGTTATCGAAAAAGAAAAAAGTGAAGCCACGAAAATCCCGCGACGCAGACTGCTTGAGTGTCAATTTCCTGAAGTGTGTTCTACATATTTTTAACGTCATATTTATGGTGAGATATTTGTTATTATATGTTTATCTCAAAGCTCTGTAGACCTTAGTGTCTATGGGCGGTCATTTCTGTATTTTAGCGCAATCGGGTGACCACTTGCACCTTCTAGTTAAAAATGCATGTTCTAAAACATAACTTAAAGCTCTTTTTCGTAATAAATTATTTACTTAGATAAGTGTAAACAGATTCTGTTATCATTTAATGTAATATTTAATTTGGTCCAGTTTGCAGGTATAGGGGTATTAATAGTGGGTGCATGGACAGTGGCGTCGCGGCATAGGTTCGTGCCGTTACTGCCCACCCCGACCTACCCCGCTATCGCCTACCTGTTAGTGATCGCTGGGGGCATGGGCGTGCCCCTCTGTGCATTGGGATGCTGCGGTCTCAAAACTGAAAACAGAACAAGTTTACTATGTGTACGTTTTTTTTTTTATTTTTAACACTAGAAAGTTTATTAGAAGTCTTTGTATGTTTTATTGATTGAAAAGGGGATATTTTGTTGGAAGCATGTATGTATATAATTCCCTTTTCACTTCGGTCTACAACTATAGTTTAAAAGTAAAAATTAATAATGATTTGATTCTTGATTATAAAAGGTTCTAAAGTTGTTATTAACCATATACCAGATTTAAGTAAAGCAGTTATCTTGACTTAGATACGTTAGTCGCCGGGACTAAAATAAATGATTCAAGGTCGCACGTAAACACCTTACGCGGGTTATCGCTCAATTGTAAACTTGTATCATGTGAGTCATCGTTTTATCAAAGTATGCCAGTTGCTCGGTTTTTCGCCTTTTGTATTATATCTGTATTTAAATGTAAATTACATACGATGCCACACGTTAGAGGCAATTACGCTAATTTTGTTACGTGAGGTTTTAAATTTTGCAATATAACGTAAGAGGAAATAATGATACCCAGTACATATTTTTTCAATTTAACATAGACAAAATCAAAATTCTAGTAATGGGTTACCATAGTTTTTCTTTTTTTATTCAGGCACACATGTGTTAAAAGGGGAAGGGCACTCTTGAAACACATGGCAACCAAATTCATAGCCCAAATGTATGCGAATGAGCGTTACTACAAAACATTCTTTTTAGTTGGACTATTTAAACGAAAATGTTTATTATTCTGGCATTACTAATCTCACAATAAATAATTAGACAGAATATGGTCGACGACAATCGAATAGCGACATTCGGACGTAAGACCGCTGTATACCATTAAGCTGTTGGCACCTAAATACAATAATGGGTGTTTACCTTTGGACCGATTGGCCAACCGATCGACCGATCCTTTGGGAATTTTTATCCCACTGGTCTGATCGTGTCTATACTAATCAAATCTAATGGAAAAAAACATTTCCAATGCGTATATAAATAAATAAATAAATAAATAAATCCTTTATTATTTCACTTTAAAAATAAACACATTTCATGAGAGCCTTGGCTCCTGCACTAGGTTCCCCTGTGCTGCAGGAACCAATCCCTTTCCCCATTTGTGAAGAGCAATACATATTCATAAGTGTCTAAACATAAAATACAAAGAAAAACATTAAATTTACTTATTATAGAAATGACGAATAACAAAAAAAAAACAAAGGAAAAGAAAATTACATACATTTTTTTTGTGCGATAGCGTTGTTGAGTGTTTTGTGCCTGTGTGTAGGTGTGTGTGTGAGTGTGTTTTTGTGTATGTGTGTGTGGGAGAATATGTGTTTATATTAATCAGTATATCAATCGGTAATAAGTATATCAATCGGTGAACTGATCGGTCCAACGGAAAACACCCGTAACAGTTTTATTTTTATTAATTCCAGTACACATACTTCCTGCTGTTTACCTTCATACTGGAGTTAGGCGCAGGAGGGCTGGCGTATTACTACGAGGTTGCGGTTGAATTTGAACTGAAAGCAGAACTCAACAACACATTCATAGCTAACTACGCACTAGACGTAGTGGTTACGGACGCGGTCGACCTCATGCAATCAGAGGTAACTTGTACTGCTAACTTTTTACTCTGTGACATAAAAATTCTACACTAGTGTTTTAAAAATGGTATTTGTTTTTTTTATTATTTTGAATATAATGAATAAACTCCAAAGCAATAGAGTGATTGTAAAAATTCTTAGCTTAGTCTGAATAATCAATTTTACGGTAATACGTTAAATAACGGTCTGTAGTAACTAAGAAAAATAGAATTTTAAATTAGCGAATAGGTAAGGACATAGTAACATTCACAATGTTTTACTTTAGTAACTAACGATTTCCGAATTGTTTACACATCAGATAAAGAGCCCAATACGAAGAATACATTATCAAATAAAATTGATTATTATTAATCAATTTCCGTTTTGTTTATCGTGTTCAATAATTTTGATAAATGAATCGTCGTCTTTAGACGTTAAAAGTAGCTTATGGCTTTTTTTGAAGACCGTGCTAGTCAGTTAGGGTGTTTCCCGTTGGACCGATCAAACCAATGGAATGTTTTCTCCCAACGAGAAACACCCGTCATTTAGTTGACATGTTTGGTTATTGGTTATTGAACAGTTTAAATGCTGCGGCGCGTCGCGGTACTCGGACTGGCGACGCAGCGCGTGGCACGAGCACGACCCGCGCCTGCTCGTGCCCGACTCCTGCTGCAAGACGGTCACCTCGCGCTGCGGCATGCGCGACCATCCCTCCAACATATACCACAATGTGAGACCACTGACTTACAAATATCTTGCCCACTCAAGGTCAATTGTACACTACAAACAACGTTTAAGAAATATATAGACTAGGCATGATGAACATTTCTTCACCTAACTTTCTTAGAAAGGTACAATATAAATTGTCAAGTTTAGTCCCACTTCGTGTAAAATAAACTTTCGCTATAAAATAAACTAATCAGTGTCTTAAAAAAATGAACATTTAAATGTTATTTAATGACACTTATTGGAAATTAATTTAAATACAATTAACTATTGTCATCTGGCTTTGAGGATCTATTAAAAAATGCTTTGATAGTCAACTATGCCTACTCTATATTTTTTTAAATCTCTGCCTGCATTCTGTAAAAGTCTTCCTCCGCATTCACGCTCATAAAGCTAATGTTGTAAACAGCAATAATTTTAACCTCTACATTACTATCATCAATCATCTAAAGCGTCTGACGGACGATTACTTTTTTTGTCATATTTGTTTGATTAAAATATTCACCAAAGACAAAAACTAGTTGAGCCGGATACTGTCAAATATTTTTAGTAACAGCACTATAGGTATCAACTTGTGGGTAGTTCCTTATCTAAGTACAGTCGGGGAAACTGGCGGTGTTCCAACATAAAAGTTCCAATCGTTTAAACATTTTGATTTCTTTTTATTGTTACCCCTTCGGTTGAACCACTCACTGCTATCTAAATAATTATTAGTAGGAAGAGGCGGAATTTGTATCGTTACAATGAACAAGGTAATGACATAGAACACCGCGGATTTCCACGACTGTACATAAGTTTTTCGTATTTTAGATTGATGTATCTAACAGTTAAGGTTTTATCATTTAACAAGAAAAAATCTGCAAACACTGCAAACACACAAACTATTCTGTTAGGAAATTTACTGTTGTATTCATCAAACAAATACAAATTGAAATATCATAAAAATATTTTCAGGGTTGTGTGGCTCCATTTACGAGTCACATCCGGGAGCATCTAATAATCCTTGCAGCGGTGGGGGTCGGGATGTCCGTTATACCGATATTCGGTTTTCTATTCTCATGCATCCTCTACGTTAAAATAAAGCACGTGATAGACTGACACAGAAAGAAGCAGGCCAAGCCCGCTGCTAACAGGAAGGTGTTCGATAAATCTGCTAGCGCCGGAGACTTGACCAAGTACCAGAAGGCCGGCCCGCGCACTCTGAAGCCTCCAGAACGTTCTAGAACGAAGCACAGCAGGCGCGCGCCTTGTCCTCTACATCATAAGAAACCACCCATTTCGACTATCAGTGATAATGTTAGTATATAATATTTTTTTTTAATTACACGTTTTTGAATGAAACGGTCTTGTACTTTGGTTCGGCTTTTACATGTTAAATGTTAATACCAAAAATATTTGTTTTTTTTTCTGATTAAGCAATTGATTTAACTGTTTTTTGTTCTTGATACTAGATTGTTTTAGCTTCTTATTTACATATTTCATTCTTTTAATAAGATTTACTTTTTGTGTATAGAGGAATAGTCAAAGACCGAATTAATATCAGTCGTGTACTTAGTTATTTTGTAAATATTGTAATAACCCAGAGATAAGTGAAACGAATTAATTTATTACGATAAAAGTTCAAAGGGCTTATCTTGAACATACGTGAGTATGTTTCAAAATGCAATCTTTTTACGAATGTGCTTTCACCATTGTCACACAAATATTCCTGATAGGCCCTCTTAACATTGCTCATGTTTTCCTTGGTTTATTATATTTTCTAGCAATAGAAATATATTGAATTTGGAATAAATTAAACGTGTTCATGTGTTTTAAAATTAATTTGTTTACTTATCTCGAATTTGTTTTAATGGTGCTATACTGTAAGTGTATATTATCGCATTAGTTCTAATTAAATTTAATGAATTTTCATTTGTACAGAACTAAATTTAAGCAAGTTAAAAGTTACATAATAACTACGATTAATATATTAATATAAAATAAACTTGAATTAAGCTATCAGATTATTTTTAATTCACAACATAAAATTTATTTAACTATAAGAGTAAAACCAAAAATATCTTTTTAACGTTATTTTGTAATCAAAATAATTTTAAAACTATCAATCAAGAAAATGTAACAAAAAAGAATTGTTTATTTAACGAATAGCATAAAAGCTTGTACAAAAAAAAATGTCCTATTCTTGTTCTTTTTTGTAAGGAAAGGAAAGGAAGGATGCATCGATTTGACGGAGCAGGGGACGCATAGGGTTTGGATATGTCTTTGTGGGCGTCCCCTCCTCTTTCTATTTAACGCATCTATAAATGCGAATGTCTATGAGCAGCGGTCACTTCGCTAATTTAACGAATTCGTGTGGAATAAAAATGTACTTATAACTTTAATAACATAAATATATGTAAAATTAGAAATAAGTTAATGTCACCAAATATACGTGTTAAAAACCAAAGCTAAAATGTGCCTTACTAATTGATAAGAGTTTTCTTTGGATACACATTTCGTATGAAGTTAGCACGTTGGGTTCGCTGTACTTATTTTGTTTGTATTACAGGTTAAACAACCAAAATCTAATTGTAATAATCACCAGAATTCTATATTTTCCAATAATTTAGGGGTAATTGCCCCTAATCTTATGTATGTATTTTTTTTTTACTTTAATATGGGTCTGCAGCGTTAATTTTCATTATTAATTTAACCGCAATGATGATATCCAAAAAGTATCGAAAATGTCTCGCTCTTGTTTTCTTGTTTCGTTGAATTTTGACCTTTGGTGTTTTTTCTTCTTTATTTACTTTTAACATACCATAATTTTAATATCAAAATACAGAATGATTCTTTTGGCGTTTTTTATTTATTTTATTGTAATACATAATCGTTTTATATTTATTACTAGCCAAAACCGGTATTCATGAACTTTTACATTTCTCAACTTCTATGTTAAATGAATGAAATTAAAATCTTGTTTTTACAGCAAACCATGAAGTTTAACTATTGTGTATCTCATTCCAAAATAATCCTAATTAAAAAAGTCGTTTAAGAAATGCATATATTCATTTAAAATCGTTTTTGTGTTAATTCTGAGATACGTGAAATTGTAAAATATTCTAATATTCGCTTATTTTATTTGGTTTTAAACAATTGGTTTACTCAAAGTTGAGATTAAGTGTACCCTTTGCTTACTATAGTTTTAATTTAATACAAAGCATTACGGAGTATAAAATTCTGTTAATTCTTTTCAAAACGAAGGTTGTTTATCCTATTTTTAGGGGCACAATGACTCCTAGTTCATCTTATTGGTTTTAACCACAGACAACACTGTACTATGATAGTATTTATTTACAACTTAAAATTTGTAATTTATGTAATTTTCAATTATGTATTTTAAAATGTTTTGATGTTCTTTCACCTTAATATCTAATTTAAATATTATTCCATGATAAATTTAAATGTTCACATTGTAATACATTTGTTGTTATTCAATACAATTTTACAATATATGCCCTTGTTTTATTAACCATTTCTTATTATCACACGAATATTTAATTAAAACTAGCTTTCACGCGCGACCCCGTTCTTCCAAACTATACTTTACACCAATACGAATTTTCATCGTAATCCGTTCAGTCGTTTAGGCTACAAACTCTCAAACATCCATCCATCTAAACTTTTGCATTTATAATATTAGTACTGCTAGTATTACATATTTTAACAGCATTATTAAATAAAAAAGTCTTAAAAACGCCTTCTGATAACCAGTAATGTGTCTCACGGCGCGCCGGTTGCTACGAACCATACTTCATTATTCACAAACTTCGCACCTGCTTCTATTTAAATCCAACTGGTTCTATATAAAAGAATGTTAAGAACAAACTTGGTCTCAGTCCCTTGTCTGTATTCGATACGAGAACTTATTTAACAAAAGATATATTAAAAATGAGAACCCAGACTGTTATATTGTTGTTACTAATAGTGTGTTTTAAGTGCAAAGCTCTAGTACCGAACTTAGGTGGATTGCAACGAGTGCAATCTAAGACGAAGGATTTGGCAGGGACTGTGATCGTCGAATCGGCAAGACCATTGGACATACCTATCGAGACGAAAGACCAGGCGAACAGCGAAGCACTACAAGCACCGCCTAGTACCCAAATCCAGCCTGTCAATAATAATGTAAACGTCAATCTGGGAGACTTGAATTTAAATAGTTTTGGACGCTCGAACAACAACAACTATGGCAACTTCAGTCAAAATCTTTAACAAGGACCTTTATTCTGTATCCCCATGTATATACCATGTTGTTCACATTTACACATTGACGAAAAAAATATATAAACATGGACATTAAATAAATAAATGTAATTTTACTGTAAGAATACATCCTGCATTTATTATGTGATAAATATTAAATGTACTATAAATGTTGTTTTATTACGAACTTATAATAAGTGACGTTTCATATGATACAAATTAAAATGTATTTATAAACGCACATTACCACTGACAAATCCCTAAAAAAAGCACATCTTTATCCCCCTCGTTCTTTAAAAAAAAAACGAGACAGCGATACGTTTGTCTACTAGTACTCCATCAGTGGAACCCAACAGATAGTAGTTATGTTTAATTTAAATTAACGAATATTAAGTGCCTATTTATTTTATTTTGCGACAAAAACCTTGATAATTCGGTATTTAAATTACCTTCACAATTCGAGTTTGTGTCACCTAAGGCATTCCAAGTCACAATCAAAATGTGCATGAATTATAATCTATCTGTGAAAAAATCATATTTCTTCAACATGATGAAGGTATATGTTGTGCTTGTAACAAAATAAAAATGTTCATCTTACTAATATTATAAATGCGAAAGTTTGGATGAATGTTTGTTAGAGTTTGTCGCCTAAACGGATGAAGGAATCACGATTACATTTGGCAGAAATGTGGAACACAGTCTGGAAGAACATATAGGCTGTTTATTTTTTTTTAATTCCACACGTACGGAGTCGCGAGTGAAAGCTTGTTTCTCATAAATAAATGGACCTATCCAACGTCTGGCTGCATTTCGTCGTCTTAAATTTTAACTTTTCGTTATATTATGAATACATCCCTGTGTCTTCTGTTAAGTTCATGAAAGATATACGATAGATACATTGATCAATATTGCATAGGTAACTAATCTACCTACTAATGTACTTAAAATGTTTATTTCAATAAAAGATTATTTGGGTTACATATATTCTGGCTTTACTGAGGTATCGAAATTTGAGAGATATAGATACTAAACGCCCTGCTTAAAAATATATTTTTAATCATCGTTCTTGTACAGCTGTCAACTGTTAAAAAATATAAAAAACATATAAAACTACAAAAATTATAATGTCTCACAAGTCGTATATTTAAAACAATAATGGTTGTAAATTACAAAACCACGGCAAATGTTTAAAATAAAAAAATATCGAAACTTGCCAGTCTTGCATTAATCACTTTAGGTTTCTGTTTTATTTTGCCATAAATACCAGTTGTAGAATAATTATAGCTGAAGGTGGCAAACAGGTCTGATATATTTTAAAATCATCGTCTCTACTCATCCTTTTCTTATTTGAATGTCGTGGGATTGAAAAATACAGTGATACAGGTCTCTTCTGGCATTTTTTTATCAAGGTGGCAAACGAGCGAGCAGCCACATGAATTCACCAAAACCAGGAAAGTGAAGCGATCACTGCCCAAATACATCTGAAATTACAGATGCGTTGCCTACCCTTAACGGAAAAGGAGACGTTCATAAAGAGGATATTTCCCCTTCCTATGCGTATCCGCCACGGTCAAATCCACTCTCCTTTCCCAACCTTTTCGTATAAGAAAGTATTGAGCCCATTCGTGCCAAGATGTTAAAACTGGCTACCAGTTTTAAAATCGACAGTAATCGATTTTTTAGCTGATCTACGGCAGGTGTAAAGTGATACAGATACGAGTCCTGTAAAATATTTCACCCATTTTAAAGTACTGTTATTCGTCAGCATTTTTGCCCATTCCTATAAAAATTACCACACAAAACTATGCGTATAACGATAACATAGGCACTTATTGAGCTAGCGCGCTCTTTCCTTCGGCGGCGTCTTCACTTAGCTTAGGTGGAAACGTGATCAAGCGCTGGTTTATTTATGTTAAAAAAAACATACATATTCATTACAAATATGATCAAAGTGACTTCCTTTTCAGAATTATCTAAAAGTGTAAATAAATAATTTACTAAGGTTCCTAGTATCGTGCCTTGTTTTTAACACTATTGAAAAATCATTCTCTTTTTAAAAAAAAATATTTATTGATTGCACTCTGGGAACATGTTTTATATTGATTTATAGGATTCGAAGTTAAGACTTTCCTGTTTTAATACGTTGTTAAATTTTTAGCGAAGACTGGGAAATCCTAGGTGGAGAAACTGTGAATTTGCTAAAATAATGATAATTTTTTCCTCATGTAATAATAATTTTGATTTTATTGTTAAAAATGATATATCAGTGTTTGAAAAACATGATATCATTAGTTTGCTTAATTGTGTATAGATTTATTAACTAATATGTTACGGAAACAACGGAATAGTAATAAAAACAAATAAGTCGCGTACCAGTGACCGAATTTGTTCGCACAGGCACATTTAAAAGCTGTATCCTATCCTTTGCCGATACTCAATGTGTACACAATGTCCAATTACGACTTGCGACTGTAGTTTTTAGTATAAACCGAAATTTTTCTAGATAATAATACACACTAAACAACGATATTCATTCTATTAACATTTTAAATCAGAACGTAGTAAACATTTTATTTTTTTAGTTAGAAGATTTACTATTGTTTCCTTGTACCTGGCCGGCGAGGTCTTCAGGCTTCAACAGCACTAAGGTACCATTATTGAGGTTGACGTTGACATTTTGATTGACATTCCCATCTCCTTGAGCATCCACAGCTTTTTGACCAACTCCCCCTCTCGAAAACTCTCCTCTCTTAGTATTATTTTGCACATAATCCGATTGATTCTCA